CTTGCACTCTCTGGAAAATCTTCCTGTCCCTTTTTCTTCCTTCTGTTTTGAACAAAAGTATATCATCTAAATTACAGAGATAGTGCTTGTGAGTTAACGTTATCAAGGACACGAGAAGGCAGAGGTTATAAAAAACCAGTGACCGCTAACCCACCTGAAGTGTGTGTGAGCTTTAAAATTGCCACAAATCTGTCTTCCCATGCAGATTTTTGCCTGTAACAATTCCCCCATGTGCCCCATTCAGGATTTTTGTCGTTTTCCATAATTGCCCAAACTCCATTGTGTCGAAGACCCCCTACCTGGCTTGAAGATGGAACTCCATGATAGTTGGTGAACGAATGAATAAATAGCCTTGTTCACTAAGGAAATCGGAATTATTCTCTTTTGCTTCAAGTGCTGGTGGAATGCCAGTTCAAGGCTGTTGTGCGATAACTTGTTTCTCTGCAAAAAAAAAAAAAGTAAAAAAATTCGTGGGGTGGGTGGGGGTGAGGGGGAAGATCAGTGCGACTTCCCATTCCCAAATCCTAGGGTTTCCTGAACATCTCACAAACCTCAATGACCTTCAAGAAATTTCTCCACCACCCTGCGCTGGATAGAGGAAACCCTTGCGACGCCGGCCGGACTTCAGACGACAGAAGAGCACCTGTGTCCCGTCGGGAAGGGAGGGGGGCGGCCACACGTGGTTCATGCCCTAGGATGTGCCCATGCACCCGTTCCAGGATGGCTGGCTGCCGGTGGTGTGGGTGTGAAGGGGCGGGTTGGGGACCCGTATTCCGTCTGCTGCGCGTTGACTTGATGGGGTGCTACGAAAAGCGCATGGGGTTCCCTTGGCATCAGGGGCTCGACACCTAGAGTAGCTTCTCGCCATCTCAGTCTACGGGGCTGCCTCCCTCCGCAGCAGGAGGGGGGAGAAGTCAACCTTGACTTTATCGTGTCCCAAAGCGTCCTGCCTGCCTAAGGTGCTTGTTCTCAGCTCATCAGCCCCAAAAGGGCGACCGGATTCACGTGGTACCTTCCCCTGTCTCCCCTTAGGTACCTGGGAATCACCCGGCCCCTCACCTACCCCGTGAGACAGAGTGGAAAATGCATGGCGAAGATCATCCTGGCCGTGTGGCTGCTGTCTGCCTCCATCACTCTCCCCCCGCTGTTCGGATGGGCCCAGAACGTGAACGACAACAAAGTCTGCCTGATCAGCCAGGATTTCGGCTACACCATCTACTCCACCGCCGTGGCGTTCTACATCCCCATGACCGTGATGCTCGTCATGTACTTCCAGATCTACCGTGCCGCCAAGAAGAGCGCCGCCAAGCACCGATTCCGTGGCTTCCCCCAGCGCTCCGTGGAAGACCCCGAGCCCGAAACCGTCATCTCCATCAATAGCTCCATGCGCCTGAAGGAGGGAGAGGAGGGCAGCAACCTGGCCCGGATGATCAGGCAGGAACGGAGGAATATCTCTATCTTCAAGCGTGAGCAGAAGGCCGCTACTACCCTGGGGATCATCGTTGGCGCTTTCACCATCTGCTGGCTGCCCTTCTTCGTGCTGTCCACCGCCCGACCCTTCATCTGCGGCACCACCTGTAGTTGCATCCCGATGTGGCTGGAGCGCACTTTCCTGTGGCTGGGCTATGCCAACTCTCTGATCAACCCGTTCATCTACGCCTTCTTCAACCGCGACCTGAGGACCACCTACCGCAGCCTGCTGAAGTGCCAGTACCGTAACATCAACCGTAAGCTGTCTGCTGCAGGCATGCATGAGGCCCTGAGGCTGGCGGAGAGGCCTGAGCGCCCCGAATATGTGCTGTAAGGTTAGACATCACCAGTTGTACATTTGCCCCCCTCTCGCCCAAACTCTTGTTTGGGAGCTTCTTCTTGTAGGCTCTCTGAAGCCCCCCTGTATTGGAAGAGTTTCCAGTGAGGGAAGCGGGGTGAGGTAGGAGACCGATGCAGACGTGGAAGTCTCCTGTCAGGAGAGGAGTCCTGAGGGCCTAGCGATGAAGCACTTGGGTGTTCACCCCAAGGTTGGCAGTAGCAACCCACCCCGCAGCTGAGAGAAGGGAGCTAGACAGAGACAGAGAGAAGGCCGTCTGCTCCCAGAAAGACTTAGAGGAGGTTGGATAGCGAAGCAAACTTTGTGTCTTATGGAGAAATTGGTGTAGTCATCAGGAAAACAGATCCACGGAGCCGCCCATCCCGAGAACTAGGCTGAGAAGTGGAGTCAGATGAAGAGGAAGAAGGGGCAGTCTATGGTAGCCAAGGAAGAGTGGCTCTACCCAGGTAGAAAGAGACTTCTCAGCCATCAACCAAGTCTTCTCTATGGTTCTTGCCACTTCTGTGAATCTGGAAGGGATGGGGTGAAGTGGGTAGGGGTTTCTGGTTTCTCATTTCTGGTCATCATGCTCAACGAGTAGGCCCCGGGTGGCAGTATTACGAAGGCCATTTTTTTAGAGGAAAGCCACTGTGGGTTTCAGTTGTATGATGAAAATCATCTCCAAGTGGGTTATTTCAGAGTGATTTGCAATGGTTAGAAGCAACTTATAGAAGCTATGAAATGTATGAAAGGGGTCGCAGTCCTTTCCCTTTCCCATTAGAGATACTCAGACCTCCTTAAAAGTTATATGTGATTCCAATTAGAGAATGGTCTAAAAATGCAATCCATTCACCATGAAAAGAGAATTGATATTTATGGTTCTCCTAATCATTTTATTCTCTCTCTCTCTCTCTTTCTCCCCTCAGAGGTATAACCTACTACAGTCGCTACTTATCATCAGAAAGAAGAATTGCGAAAATAACCAAGGCGAGACATCGGCGGAAACAGAACCCAACCACGTGCTGAGATTGCAGGCTGGAATGCAGCTTCCATCATTTCGTGGAATGGCTAATACATGACAAGCAGAGTGATCTGTTGTACAGTCTATTACGAGGGAGAGTGACAACCTCTCCTTTTCCCCCCTGTGAACCAGTGCTATTATGTGCAAATGAATATAGTGCTCAGTTTAAGACAGCTCGATCATCCCAGCAGTAGGCACGAACAGAGCTGGATTCCGGAAAGGAAACAGTTTCTGGTGCTTTGCATATGTTTAAGTCCGTGCAAGTGGAAGAAAGTTCCAATGCACACTTCCATGCTTTTGAGTCTAGACATTGTGGTGAATATTCAGGAATCATTCATGAGGCAGAATGCATTTTGTTGTGTGGCAAAGGGTTTTTCCCTCCCAAACTACAGTGAGTATAGTGTTGAATATGTTGCATGTCCTGTTAGAAAACAGAACCCAGTCCTAACTATTACAAATGATGTCCCCGAGCAGTGTGTGTTTAAAACTTTTGTCAAATAGTTCGGCTTCCCTGCAGGGCCCCTGTGACTTCCCCACCAGTGTAATTTCTTGTTAACTCACTTATTGTTATGGTGTAACTCAGGAAGAGTTCTCAGGATAGAAAGACTCATAAAAACCAGAATAGAGGTTTTTCTTGGGCTCACACTTCTTCTGAGGGGTCCTGAGAGGTGGAGAGGATGCCTTCTGTGAGGTGTTTAACTTGGATAGGGAGTGAGTGCCTACCTAACCGCATTGTACGCCTTGTATATTGCTATGGTTACCGCTACAGAACTTTTGACTATCATATACATAAGAGTGCAGAGGGGCCACTGGCTGGTTCCCAACTGTTTGTTATTTGGAAGGACTAGGGAAACAGTGAGGTTTCCATGAAAGACTGTGATGTGTCTTGAGGATGAGCATTCACAGGTGAATTCTCGTTGAGCAGCATTGTATGAAGCAGCGTTTCGTGGCGCAGAGGCTTCTGGGGCCACAGTTGGGCAGTGCTGTAGAACACCATTCTGTCTGTTCTAGAGAATTGACTGTTGTGTTTCTCTGTATCCTAAATCAGATATGTGCCTGGTTAATTGTGCTTTTTCTCTCCCCCAAAGATGGCAGACGCTCAGGTCAGGTCAACAGGAAAGGTCCCTTTGCTGGTAGTAATTACAAAAAAAAAAGAAGGAAACACAAAAGGTGGCATGATTTCATAAGTGTGGAAGCTAGGAGCTAAGGAGACAGAAAGATGGTAGATCAGAAAAGAAGAGGACTTGGAGGGGGAAAATTAAATGCAAGCCTTCATTTGATAAAAGAGAACTGAGAGTATTTATTATTTTCCTACAGTAAATGAAGCAGGTTCCTCACGGGATAATGTGGAATTGCAACGTGGATTATGAACTTATTTCAACTTTCATTGACATTGCTTCCTGCCAGACTCTGGGAAGGGTCCGCCTCTCCTGAAAAGGGAGGTGGACGCTGTCCTTTCAGACAAAGCTTGTGCAAATCCTTGAGCCGCAGATTTCTTAAAGTGACTGTATGTACCTATACTCTATAACTTAAATGGTTAAATATGATCAGATAAATGTTGTAAAACTTGAATATGTTTTATTATATTACACTAATAAGTAAGTAGGAAATAAAGAAACAAATAAAGAAATAAAGAAACAAATAAAGAAATAAAGAAGCAAATAAAGAAATAAAGAAATAAAGAAATAAGGAAACAAATAAAGAAATAAAGAAACAAATAAAGAAATAAAAAATAAAGAACGTTTCTTTGTAGCCTTAATAAAGCAAATCTAGGGTTACGTTTTCATGAAAGGTCTAATTATCATATTAAGTGTATCTAGAATGAGACAAGAGCAAGCTGTAGCTAGTTTCCTAAAATCCTAACAGGTAGCGAAAACAGTTCTGTAACTAATTTGATGTCACTGTGAGGATTCATTCAACTTGTAACTTTTTTGATTTGCTGAATGAGCATTAATTGGGCTTCTGTTACATTCACCACAGTGAGCATGGATGGAACTTAGATGAGTAAGGCACCATCCCTGCTTTCAAGGAGCATGCCGTCAAGTTGAAGGCAGACATGTCTTAGAGTGTTGCAATGAATTAATGGTGTAGTAGATGCTGTCCACAGTTTACAGGTAGGGGCATGTTTCTTTCCTGTAGTTCAAGACAAAGTATTATGGTTAACTGGATTGATTCAGCTTCCCAAGTGTGTTTAATTTTTTATTAGGGCTTTAGTTGTTCAAATTGGCACTTTCTTCTGCCTGATTTGAATGCCTGATGATTAAACTCTCTGCTTTATTCCAACCACAGAGGACAGACACCAGCTCTACACTTTGCTGTAAATGCATGGTGATCAAATGAAAAAGAAAGGGTAAAAACTGAGAGGTAATGATAAAAACATCAACCATTAATCAATGCTACTTCATGTAAGACACAATCGGCCATTTGTGCCAAAGGTACAGTTTTTATTTTAACTAAGAACTGGGAAAACTGTTGAAGCAAATATTTAAAATATATTTTATAATTCTTCAAGCAAGGGTGACTCTTATGAGTAATCTCTCTTCTAACTTTGTCAGCTGTCATCTTCTGGCAAGTTTGAGGACTGGGAAAAGAGGCTTGGGTCTAAGGGACAACAGAGTCACTGTCACCTGAGTGTTTGGTTTTCACTGTAAACATCAAACAGGAAACACTCAAAGAGATCCTGGAAATGGTCTCATTATTCTTAAACCATGTATTGTGGTGGTTCATCGTCTATTTTTGTTCAATGTTGTTAGCTGCATGAAACCAACAATAGAAGTCAAAATTGAGAGCAATTGTTCAAATAGTTGATGCTGATATGATAATTTCTGACTTGTTAACTGGGGTTGGTGAGAATTTCCTCTCAGCAATTTGAGATTGTCAGCTGAGTCCTCAGTTAACATGAGAATGTTTACAAATCGTGCATTTAAAAAAAGACTCACTCCCTGTATCTTTCCATTTCAGGACCTTCCTACCTCTCCCCACCCCACCCCCTTAGGTCTGCAATGTTCTTCTTGCTCCCAGTGAACTCGTCAAGGACAGAGACTGAGTATGTGTTACTTATCAATATAGGCCTAGCGACTAGCACTGTGTTTGGAACATATAGAGTAGGCATGGAATAAAAATGTCTTTAGAGAAAGGGAAGGAGGGAGCACATGAAGGGAGAGGAAGTGAAGAAAGAGGGGGAGCGGATTGGATGGAGGGTGGGAGGGAGTGAGGAAGGGGGGAACGGGGAGAAGGTGGAGTTGATTTCTTGTGTTTGGTTGCCATTGAGTTGCTCCTGACTCATGGGGACCCTCTCCCCGAGGGAACAGAGTGTTCCCTGGTCCTGTGCCCCCCCCCATCCCATGGCAGGTTAGATTGTTGTGATCTGTTGTTTTCATGGGCCGATTTTCAGAAACAAATCACCACCTCTTTCTTCTAGTTTGTCTTAGTCTGGAAACGGGACACTGGTTGGACATCCTGGCAACACTCAAGCCTCCAGAGGACACTGGGTTGAGGTGCATTGGATGGAATCAAACCTGGGTCTCCCCCATGGAAGGCAAGCATTCGACCTCTAGAGCAGACTTACATCCCTTGACATTTCCAGGTGAGACCATCTGGGAGCTCCATGGGATCAAGTGTCCGTGCACAGGGAGTGGGGAGAATGAACTAGACTTAAACTCTCCTGTGTAGACCGTTGACCAGTACATAGTGGTGGCTTGCTTGGCATAAGCTACTCATATCAGAGAGCGACCTTTTCTTAATTTTCTGCACTGGTGGAGCAGAGCTGTGTATGTCTTATGGCCCGTATGTTGAAACTTGTGTATCTACAGCTAGCCAGATGGTCCCTAACAGCACACAAAGACACCATTTGGAAACCTTCAGAGGGTCAGTGTATGTTGGAAGCAGTCAGAATAATACGTCTTGTGATGCCATTACTTACTTACTTTAAGGAGTGTAACTAAATTTTTTGAAAAAGAATACTTTGGTAGATGCTACTTGTGAAACAGGGAGACTGTGGACCTATTCAGGGGATCCAGTGACCAGAGATAGAAGTTTATTTAATTAGATCTCTTCTTAACTTTGCTTTGCCTGTAATTTACCTGGAAAAGGAAAATAGTTTCTTAACTTAAAATATTTGTGCTTTAAGCTCTGGCTAAGCTAAATAAAATAGCTCAAAAGAAGAATCCTGAATCTTGTGTATGTAGCACAAGCAACAGTGAAACGATGTGATCACCAATACAAATATGAAGACAAAGTTTTATTACATCTATTCTGATACAGCTAGGGAGTGACTGACAAGCATGGGAGGGGATTTACAAATAATAGTTACTTTGAACCTTTGGCATTGGGAAAAAAAAAAAAGAAGCTAAGTAGAAAGAATTAAGCCATCTTGTTGTAATGGTTCCCTAGACAGGGACATGTGGTATTTTAAACATCCTATTTTTAAAAACTGTAAACTTTATGCTCAGAGTATACACAACTTGATGAAGGTAATGGACAAGAAATAGTCAAGAGACTGCGAAGAAATGAACCCTCAAACCATGAAAGGTCCTTAAAAAAATCATTGATTGATTCATCCACTCATTCATTCAAATGCATAGTCATTGCTGTGTTAGCCACTGCCTTAAGGCACAGAATCCACTGGTGAGTAAAACAGAAGCGGTGTCCACTTTGTGTTCCTAAAATCTAGCAAAGGAATGGAACGTTACATATGTAACAGTCGTAAAATGCACTGTGGACTATGACACGACCAGCATGAGGAAGTTCAGGGAAACAATGCCTCCTTCGATAGCACTGATATAAATATCTCAGTTGCATTACCTGTGCTGGTGGAAGGAAGAAATTGGTAATGCAAAATAGAAAATGATAAGAAAGAGCTGGAATTTCTCTTTCTTTGTTGTGCATTATGTAATTTTTTTGTCCATGCCAAATTAACTTTCTTAATGACATTTTGATTGAGCTATTATTAAACTGCTCTTTAGTCTTTAAGCCCACACTGCCTCCCAGTAGGAGAGGTAGTTGAAAGCTATGCTGAGCGGCAGCGGAAAATCAGCTGTAAACATACAAGTTCATCAGGGTGAGTTCACGAAGTGAATAATCCACCCAGAAAATAAGATCCAAGGTCTCCACGAAGACACCCATAGCTAGAGAATTTCACAGGGGATCCACTGTAACACCCGACTATTTAGGTTTAAATTCCTGATTTCTCATTTCTAGGTACCTGAGTGGCACCAACAGTAAAGCGCTCGGCCCAAAGGTTGGCAGTTCAAACCCACCCAGAGGCATCTCCGGAGACAGGACTGGCAATCAGCTTCCAAAAGGCTGAAGCTTTGAACACTTGGTGGACTGGAATCAATTGGATGGAATCAATTGGGCAGCAATGATGATTCCGATGCGTTTCTACACACTACAAGAGTCTGCCCTCCCTGCCGCTGCCCCACCATGTGTACCTTTCATATTTTCTTCATTAAAACTTATCTGTCTTACGTCTCACTCTCCAGTCTCTTGCTGTCTCTTAACCCTCAGGCAATTAATGAAATGCATTCATCTTTTGGGAGGAAATGTCCTTATAAGGCATAGAGTTACACTGAGGCAAGCAGCTTCTTGGATCGGTGCCTGAACCAGAAGGAGTGTTGATAGAAACTTCAGACAATGTGACAAATTGGTAGTGGAGACAGCAGCTAAAATCCTATGGCACAAGCTCCCCACATCAACCAGGATTCCCCGAGCCCTAGTGATGTAATGACTGACGACATCCTGCTATCCAAATCAACCTATGTGACTTGGGCCAGGTCTCTTTGCTGCCAGCATTGGAGAGGAGAACTGGGGGAATTCCCTGGCTTTTTAAAGCAAGAATGAATGTGGGGAATTAGGTGGCAGCTGAGATTTTTGTCTGGAAGGTTTGGCCAACTGCCTCCGCATCCTAGGCTTTGGGGAGATCGGCTTCTGTGAGACAGCTCTGCTCTCCCTGCACAAGAGAGCAATTGCAGTGGACAATGCTTAGATCAGACCCATTCTCCCACCAACGTCCACATCAACGGCTGTGTGTGAATGTTAGACTGCAAGCGGAGAGAAAAGTGACATCTGAAACTATTTTGGGGCGCATGAGTCAAAGATTACTCTGCACCCTGCTTATTCTTCTGGTTCTTGGAAATTTATTTGCAGCAAGCTTTTAAATATTAGCGCGCACACACACATAAATGAAAACATTTGCTTAATTAAATCAACCAAGGGAAATTTGGCTCAATTCTCATTCATTCACATTTGGATCACGCAGAGCACAGATTTGGGGGTTTAAAAATCACTTCAATATCGAATCCCTTAAGCATGATTTCTAGAGGGGCATGCAGGTTTATGATCATACCATCTCCTACAGGCAGAAGGAAAGTGGTTTTATTTCTATCTCATGATAGCAAACATGAAACAGGACACATTCAACTTCTCTACTACTGGTTTTCTTTAAAAGAAATCAGAACCAGAATTTTAGAAAGATGAGAATAGGTAAGTGTGAGCTTTTTAAAGACTAGAGCAAAGCTTTAAGTTGAATACTTCCAACAAGTGTAGGATGAGGTGCAGCGAGTGTCCATTCATTTACTGTATTATGTTATTTTTTTGTCATGTCTAATTCAGGTCTTTTTAAACAAAAGAAATTTCAATACACAAAGAAGACCCCTTGTGGGTTCTTTC